TTGTCAAATTCTGAAATCACAGGTCTGGGCCCCGTCCCACAGCGACTGACTCAATGTGTACGAAGACAGCCCTGGCTTTTGAAGGCTGGCGAAAGTCTCCAGATACTTCTAATCAGTCCAATCGGGTAAGCTTTATCACTCTCTCTGCCAAAGAGGCACTGGAGATTAACATCAAATTCCATTGTATGCTTTTTAAAGTTTACCATGTTGAGACTTGTAGATGCTAGTTGGTATAGTAGCAAGGATGTGTGGTTTGGAGTTAGAACCAGATACTTCTGTCTTCCTTGGGTTTATGGTTTACTTCATAGAGGTCTTTTTTCCCCCTCTGAATCACACACTCAAAATTATAAAAATGATTTTGTCTATGATGATTTTCCGTTGAACTTCAATGCCATAGTCACTCACTAAAGATTCCTCTTAGAGAGCTTAACGTCAACACTAATCCTACATCTGAGATGTCTGTCTTCTGTTCCAAGACCAATTTGTTACCCATCACTCTCAATAACACCAACCTCTCCTTTGTAACTCCCATTGGCAGGGCTAGATCTTGGAATACCAAGCTCCCATGACAATGGTTCCTAGATCTCAGCTAGCGCTCCACATTCCAACCCACTGACACCATCACCTGTTGTGCCTCTGGATGTGTAAGTGCTAGTGAATGCTGTATGATGTTCCTAAAAGTACTTCTCACACACTTCCTCAGTGTCCCTGCTCTTGCCTGTTATCTGAGTAAACCATCTTCTGGCTGGATTCTATCATCCCCATACCTCCACCTGTACTGGAGATGCTTAGTGATGCTGGACTGAACCCACCAGGCTGCTGATGGAGTTAATCTAGGGATAAGGACCATGAGTATCACTGGCTCCGTGGAGACTGTAGGATGGCTTCTCAGGAAGTGCATTTTCCTGATGTGCATCGTGTTTATTCTGTAGTTCCTGTTCTCTTTTCTAACATTCATACCTGCTCGCTGCTCCCCATGAAAGCTTTGCTCATGCCATGTTAGGGAAGTCCTAGAGGATCAGGTCTCTACGTGCATCAATAAAGATTCAATTCCCACCTCAGCTTGGTCTCCACCTGCTCCACTTTCTTTTGGTAATTCTAGGAGGACCCTGCTCCCTCCAAACACAAATCCTTTGGCCTCTTAGCTCAGCAAGGCCTTTGTCCTGGGATTACCTTGTTTTCCTACATACTTTGACCCTGTCCATAGAAGCATTTCAAGCAATGTAAAAACATTCTGCCAGTGACCCACTTATAAACTAGCCCTCTGTGTGCATATTTCTCCAGCTGCTACAGACTCCTTATTTTTCTTCAGGACAAAACCACTTTAACGAGCTTCCTGCACCGACTCTCTGTGCTTCCTTTCTTCCCATTAACCCTCTTTATTGAATTAGGAAATCTTTTGACGATTCAGAAAAGGGCACTAATCTAATGAGCATCCACCAAAGCTGCCCTGTTTGATCTTAACATTTTCAATATCTGCACTATTTCTCATTTTTATATTAATGGAAAAACAAGATCACATCTAAAATTGGTGGCCTTTGTTTACCTCTCTACAATCTTCCTTCTTTTTGGAACTGGAAGTCACAAGTTTAGCATTCATCATGTCTGGGCCACTTAACTATGGTGCATATATCCATAAATTATTCAGGTAAATTATTTGGGATTAGTTTTTGTTAATGAACAGACATTAGTTTCCATGTCCCCTTTGCCCAATGGAATGTGCATTTTCAACATTGCAAGAGTCTCCAAAATGCCTTCCCAAGTGATTATAACAACTCACACTTCCAGAGTCATTTTTGCCAATATCTGATGTCAGCTTATATTGCCAGACTTCTTAATTGTGGCCAATCTGACTGATATTAAATGGCCCCTTATTTTAGTTGGCTTTGTGATTTGGAGAAGGGGTTGCATGATACTATTATGCCTATTAGCAACTGAATGCCTGTTACATTTGTCCATTTTTACATGGCTTAATTCTTTTCCAGTGGGTTGATTGGAGATTAGGAATATACACGGCCTACCACCTTTTGTTATTTGTGTGCTCTGAAAGTTCCCTAGAGCCAGGGCTTGCTTTTAAGCTGTGTATCCTTGCCTGGAAGTTCTAAACTTTACTGTGGTTTGCTGCATTGATTTTTCTTTATGGCTAGTCTTTGTGTCTTATTCTAAGAACTGCTTCCCTAGCCAGAGGTCATATGGATAGCTGCTTATGTGTTTTCCTAAGTATTTTTAATGTTTTGTTTTAATTTTTGCTTTAATCTACTTTGAAGCTGTTTGAAGGGATGGCTTGAGGGAAATGACTCAGTCGATATTTCTACATCTGGAGAGCCAGTCACCTTAGACTCTGGCGTTGAGTCCCTCCTCTCCCCTGCAAGCTACAGCCACCTTTGTTAAAAAGCCTAGCTTGGCCATTCATGGATTCCCTGCTATATTGTTCTCTTTGTTGATCCCTGGACCCATATTTCAGTATCTTACCTTATTTAACTGTATAAACACTATTGAATAGCTTGTACTGACCTTAGTCATCTTCCATAGAAATCCCCTTCTTTATGGAATTTCACTCTGGCTTTGCTTAATAATTATAGGTCTTAAGTTCCATAGGAAAGGTTGACTGAGATATTCAGTATTTTATGAAATGATGAACGCAGAGTGTTCAGGATACAACATGCCACCTGGTTCTTACATTGGTTCATTCAGGCCATGCTGAGGCTTTCTAAGTTCACTTGTGGTGGAAGTCTTTCAAACTGCTCTCTTTAGCCTAAAAATCTGCCCGTTCCCGGAAGTGCTCTTACTAAAGATCACTGTGTCATCTCCAGTTAAAAGTTCACGATACTCTTTAAAACCATCATTTCAGTGTTGAAGAGAAGCATCCAGAGGAAAGATCCTTCTCTTAATTCTTTTACCATTTATAAAATAAGAATTAATGGTGAATTGAAAATGTCTTCCTTTCTTCCACAGACTACACAGAAGGACCCGGTCCCAGGTGTTCCCTGACCTCTTGGGAACATACTAAGTGGTCAGTTTTGTTAATGTTATACATTGATTTGAAGTCAAGTTTTTCTAGGAAAGTATGTAGGTTGCCAGAGGTTTTCCTGTTGTGTTAGTCTGTCTTAAACAACAAAACGGAAAGATTTTAATACATTGTATCTTTGCAATCTATTAACCTTTATAGTCTATTCCACTAATGGAATACTAAGGACCACATGTCCATCTTGCTCTGTTATTTTTCTGACTTTTAGAGCCACATACTGAGCCTGATTCAGTTTCTTTAATGTGTCTAAAGCTACCTTTTTCTGTGATGCTCCGGCTGCGTCACAGAAATCTCACGTGCTGGTGTTTAGCCTAAACAGAATGTTGGTAGAGCTCTGGATGGTAAGCTCACTATAACGAATTCTTGGATGGAAATGAGGAAGATGTTGGAACCAGGAGGGAAGGAATACTTGTTAAAAGGAGACAAAGGTTTTGGCTGAATTGTGTCGCTGCCTTAATGCTTTGTGGACTGCAGAATGTAAGGACAGTAATGAACCACCTAGTGGTATTGGTCTACTGTTACAAAGGAGCTTCATAATCCATAGAAGGGCAGGCTATGGCGCTTCTGTGCTTCTTCCTTCAAAGAGGGCTGGCTATGGCACTTGTGTTCTTAAAGTGCAGCTGAATGTCTGCAGTGTTGTGCAGTGAGCTTGCTAAAGTCAGGGAAGTCAGTACAAAGGATGGAGGGGAGGCCTGGGGCTAACGTGCAGGGATAAGTTTCAGACTTGCTGGCGCCCTCTCTCCAGAGCTGCATCCTGCATTCTCAGATCTAAAGCTGAGCAGATGGCTGGAACGCAACAGGAAGTAACTCAAGGGTTTGTGTTAGTTGCCTATTTGCCATAGTGGCCACACCTGAGAGAAGTTTTAAAGAGGAAAGATTTTGCTCAAAGTTTGAGAGGTTTCCACCTCTCATCCTGGGGAGGACAAGGCAGGGTAGCTCACACCATGCTCTCTGGGGAGACTCTTAGATTGTTTTCTGTGATAAACACCACGATCAAAAGGAAATTGGGGTGGAAGTGTTTCTTTCCTCTGACATTTCTAGTTCCTCATGCAGGGAAGTGAGAGCAGGAACTCAAGGCATGAACCTGGAGGCAGATACTTAAGCAGAGACCATGAAGGAGTACTGCTTACTGACTTGCTAGTTCTCTGGCTTCAGCTCAGCGACCTTTCTTATATAGTCCAGGATCACCTGTCTAGGGATGATACCACCCACAGTGGGCTGTGCCCTTCTGTCTTACTCATTCATCAAGAAAATACCTCACACACATGCCACAAGCTAATCTGAGGGGGGCAGTTCTTCAACTGAGGAGTCCTTTTCCCAGGCAACTCTAGTGCTTGTCCAGATGACAGCAGAAACTAGCCAGGATAGTGGGTCTTTCTCCCTTAGTTCATTTTCCTCGGAAATTCCCCCCAGACACACCCACAGGTCGACTTTGTTAACTCACCCCCACCCCATCTCTTCTCAGTACAGTCAAGTCAACAATCAAGGCTAAGAACACCGAGCTGCTAGTGGTCCCCAGGACTTCAGAGTCCTTTTCACTATCATCTTGGCTCCTAGCTTCTCTCTGGTTTCAGGCTAAGATAGTGCCTGTAATTCAGCCACCACATCAAGTTCTGAGCAGAATTAGGTAGGAGAGGAAAGAAAAAAAAAATCACATCTGTGAGTTTACATCTGCACAGCTCTTTACCTAGTGTTCACCTTGTCCCCAACTGAACAGCAAGGCTTCATCCAGCTGCATGTGTTTTTGTTTGTTTGTTTTTTTAAAAAACCAAGTATTTTGCAATTCAAATAAAAGCAGTCCTATGTCATTAAAGACGATGTTTGTTAGGGGATGATGCAGTTTGAGGAGCAATGACTGCTGTCAGTATTAGATGAAGTGTTGGTATTTGGAATGAGAGAAACTGACATGCCGAATTAAGGCAGTAATAGTGGGAATGGGAAGGAAGGTCAGAAATAAATTTTGACAAAGGGCTACAAGACCCCAACAGCCTTTATTTCTCCTAATTTGCTTGGGAAGACATGCCCCCTTTGGTTTAATTCTACAAATGTCCCTTTTATTGAATCCAAGGTCATTATGCTAAATTCAGTTGGTAAATATTGAAATAAACCAGGACAGAGAAATGTGTGCTTCAAAATCTAAATATATGTTTAAAATGTATTTCTGAAACTATTTATGTCCCCTCAAAGCCCTATTTCTCAAAGACAGGAGAATGTAGAAGACATTAGCTAATAAGTCAAAATATCTTTCTAAAGTAAGTACAGCCACTCTTTGCTTATAAACACTTAAGACATATGAGTCTGGATGTCAGAAAATAACTCCAAGGAAACTAAAAGGATGCTTTATCTTCATGCCAGAAACCATCTGCCTTTCCTGTAGATATTCCAAAAATCATTTAAACTTAGCATTTTTCTTCTCCCCATACCATGCTTCTAAAAGACAACTTGAACTGCTTCGAGGGCACCAACTTCATCTTAAGGAAATTGGGTTGCCAGAAAACATATCTAGAAACCCAGCCACAATAAACAAAATACTTGTAGCTTTCTAGAATGCTTTGATTTCTGGAAATATAGCAGAAGTAAATTGCGATGCCCTACTGAACACTTGAAGTATCATTGAACATGTCAAGGAAAACATAACTGTTGAAGATGAAGTCTACCCCCATCCAGAAAGCAAGCACATTTTCCTGAGGGTATGTCGGGGTACACCCTGAAGCTACTTACTGCCGTAGCCCACACACTTAACCAGGCTGCTGAACATGGCTATGAGGTGAAAGAATGCCCTGCTTAGTGTAGGTTGAATTTGAGAGGTCATAAGTAAGCAGAACTCACTTGGGTTGGGTGGAGGCAGGTCACTCTGTGTCACATTAGGAATAACCAGGGACAAAATCCATGGTCACATCCTTCTGATCAGCCTTAGGAAGTGAAGATAGAACCTCGGTAGAAGTTAGACTGTGGAGGGGGTGATGCTGGAGGGTCCCTCACACACCCTAGCAGAGTGGAACAGCTGGAACGTTACCTTAAGGACCAAGAATCTTTGTATCATAATCTTTAATGCTCCTTTGTGTGTGTGTGTGTGTGTGTGTGTGTGTGTGTGTGTGTGTGTGTGTGTGTATTTGTGTGTGATGACAGCTTCCAGGGATGTCTAGTCTCCTTAACATCATTCAGGGTATGGTCACTGAAGGGGAGGGAGCTTTCTTGGGGCAAAGGAAACCTTAAGGGGCTTTGGTGAAGCCCAAGAGATTGGAGGAGGCATTGAAAGTTCTCTCAACCTCTCCAGTTCAAGAGCCTTCATCTGTGAAAACATCCACGGGTGGCCATCATGGTGTAATCTGTTCAGCTGTGTTAAAATGGATAGGATTAACCAGGCAGTGGTGGCGTAGGCCTTTAATCCCAGCACTTGGGAGGCAGAGGCAGGCAGATCTCTGAGTTGGAGGCCAGCCTGGGCTACAGAGTGAGTTCCAGGACAGCCAGGGGCTACACAGAGAAACCCTGTCCAAAAAACAAAACAAACAAAAAAGTACAGGATCAGGCAGACAATCTTGGAAACCAGGGTGAAAAATTGTCAAATGGTTACTGTAGTATCTACCGGGTTCATCTATACAGGAAAACATGATTCCAGGCATTTTTTTTTTTTAAAAAATAATTTAGTAGTCTCGTTACATTTCAAAGTCCCCAGTTAGGGAGCCTCCCTGGGAAAGCCGACTGTGGTCCACAGCTGTGTCCTCCTGTCTCCCAGACCGTGATCTCTTCAGCTCCTCCCTGTTCCGTTCTCCGGCTGTAATCAGGCCCTGGGAGGGAATACAGAGATAACACAGAATTGTTGCATTAGTTCAAAATCACGTGCTGCTTCGTGTTTCTGACCAGAGTCTGAGGTGAATCAGGAAATGGATGGCATGTTTCAGGTCACATGAATCAGTGCCCCAGAAGTCATCATTTTCACCGACTCTTTTGTTTCCCACCTTTTCTCAACTGTGACCTGTACACAAGGCTCACCTGAGTTGAGTGTGTGTGTGTGTGTGTGTGTGTGTGTGTGAGAGAGAGAGAGAGGGGGGGGGTTTCATTGCAATGACAATAGAATGCCCTTGATAAAATAGGAATCATGTTTAGTTTTACAATCTGATGATTCAGGTACTTTAACAAGAAAGGCTTTTTTAAAAGGAAAAATCAAATTTTAGTAGGAAAAGGAAATACTTATATACACTTTAAAACAATTTCATTTCAGAGTGCCTCCTTGGTGCCGAGCCTCAGATATTTCATGTTTAACAGTTTTCTTTCTCCTTTAGTGCTTGTATCGAATGTTCCTGGTGAGCTGGGTCAAGTTGCACAGGGAAACATTTAGCTCAGAAAAGTTCACAAACTTTCTGCAAGTCGGTGACAAAAATCATCTTCCATTCAGAGCTATTTCCCTTTAAACCAAGAAAGCCTTCTACATGCGAATCCGGTTTCTGCTCTTGCTTATTTGAAATTTCTAATTCATTATCACTAATGATGAATTTTAACAACGGTGCAGTGTCGTTCTTTTTTTTTTTTTTTTTTTTTGGTTTTTCGAGACAGGGTTTCTCTGTGTAGCTTTGCGCCTCTCCTGGAACTCACTTGGTAGCCCAGGCTGGCCTCGAACTCACAGAAATCCAGTGTCGTTCTTTAAACAGTAAAGCCGAACCCATTTCCTGCCTCAGCGACAGAGTCACCTCATTTAGAGGGTGAGATTCTGTGTGACCATTCCCATGGTGCACAGGGTTTAGGCCTCCAAGTGAAGAGTGAGTCTCTTTGCCTGCTAGTGAGTTCATATGAGATGGGGTCTCCCTAGGTGACCCCAAGCTGGGCTTAAACTCTCAATCATTCTACCTCAGCCACCGGAATGCTGGGTACACGGGCATGATGCACCTCACTTTTTTATTTCTTAATAAAATAATTTTTAAAAAAGTGTTAATTGTCTTTGACAGTAGCATCGAGGGGTAAGGATAAGAATTAAGTAAACACATTTGAGTCTTACCCTGTTAGGTTCCACCCGCCCACCTGAAGGCTATAGGGTTCAAGGGTAAGGCTGAGGTCCTCCACTGCCAGACCTTGGCCCTTGGCCGGCCTCCTTCTCCCAAGAGCCTCTCAGGCTGTTGTGCCACGTAGGCTAGGGAAGGGGAATGTTGGGAATGGCGCCAGTTCCCACCCACTTCTGAAGCAGCAGGGAGAAGCAGAGGAAACCCATTAACTTTTCCCTTCAAGACCCAGAAACCAGGAGCTGCCACTGAGAGCTAGAAGCCAGCCGAACAACTGCGAGGGGATGCTTCCCAAAGAAGCCCCGGAAAGACATCCAAGTGGGGCCTTTAGTACCCTCCGGGCCCACAGTTCCGGACAGTGTACACTCTGGGGCTGACATAGGCTCCCAAGGATGCTTTCAAAAATAGTTTCATTTCATTCGTTCATTTGAAAGGCAACAGAAACGACAAATTGGTGGCAATTTGTGCTTCTGTTGTCCTTCTCTTGAATCTCTGTGGTCCCGGAAGAGCCGGGACACATTCCAGCTATTACCAGGTCTCCCTTTAGCACAATGGCACTCTTACAGACACTCTGAAATGCCGCCCCCCCCCCCCCAGCACATCTGCAACCTGCCAATTGCCAGGGTGTGAATGTGACCCAAAGGGACATCCTGAGGTCCTGCAGCTAAGAGAGTCACTGATGAGGTTCCTTAGTGCAAAAACATCCTGAAGCCACCAACAAGGCCCAAGATGGGGGGAAAAAAAACAGACCGAAGACGCTGTCGCCCCATCCTATACTGAGGGAAGGGGTCACACGTGGCTACAGGGTTAGGAACCCACGTTTCCTGTAACTTTCCCATCCAACAACCCCACATGTTGTTTAAAACCCCGTGAGTTGATCACTTCCTTAGAAGGAGAACTGAGCAACGCGTCAATAAAACTGCCCTGCCAAGGAGATTTACTTTTTGTTCCAATATAAACTTTTTGCCCGATGCTCACTCAGTAAGGCTCAAATATCCTTGCAGAAGTGAGAATTAGCTCAGCTGGCTCTGTCCATGAAGAAACTCTCTCCTAATGCCATCAGGGCCACTTGGGGACATCTTAAGAGCTCAGTTTCCCTGGATGGCAGGGAATCTATCCCCGTCATGTAAGCCCGAATTAGCTGAGAGCCTCGTGGGCCTAACTCGCTTGCAAGAGTCCGCAGAGAGCCCCTCGCCCCCCTCCCCAGCCTCCTTAGGATGACATGGAAGAACTGAATAACTGAATCTTAAACTCCAACCCTCTCCCCACCCGTGATCCGCCAAGGGGTGCGCACATACCTGGAGCCTAGGCCGGCCTAGGAGAAGCGCCACGTCTCTGGTTTGCGTCGAGCTGCCTCCAGCCCTTTATAACAGCCCAACCCGCAAAGTAGCCACGTCGGAGCGCCTGGACAGGGGGCGGGTAGCCACAGAAGGTCTCTGCGAGACGAGAAAGAGGGTCCCTAAAAAGTCACCACTTGGGTGAACTTGCACTCGGGAGGCCCTAATGGGACTCGTGGGGTGCGGTGACAGCCCCCCGGGAGTGTGTAGGGGTCCCATCTCGGGAAGAGGCGGGTCCAGAGGAGGGGCCTGGGGAGGTCAGGGGCGGGTGGGGCGCTCAGCTTGCACCCGGGAGGGGCGGAGAAGGGGAGGTGCGGCGGTGGGGGCGTGGCGGGGGCGGGGCGAGGCGGCCTTGTGCTCCCCGCCCCGAGCTCCCGGCCCGCGCACCCAGCGCTGCCCTACTCGCCGGGAAGGCGGCGCCGGCGGTGGCTGCTCACGCTGTGCCCACTCCCCGGCGCTGCGCTCCCGGTGCGGGTGGGCTCCTCAACCACTGGCCGGCCGCAGTCCCTGCCGAGAGGTGGCCTCTGCATCCCATCTTCTCACTGCTGGGGCGCCCCAGCCCGTGTGCGACCCTTCTTTGGGGTGTTCGCACGCGCGGCTACCAAGCAGAGGGCACCCAACTTTGCCACCTTGCGGGTCGCCCTCGCTCAGCGGGAGCCTGCTCGCTCAGCTGCGCAACTGAGGACTCCGTGCTCCTGGCGGCGGAGCTGGTCCCCAGCCTGGCGCGCTGTGAGCGGAGGAGAGCTCCGGAGAAGTGGTGGGGAGCAGTGGCGGCTGCTGCCTCGACTTCCCTTGCAGCGCGCTGAAGAGGACCCTTGGAGCCGCTCCAGGCCCCAGGCGCTGGATGACTGGCAGGAGGAACGCTCCCCTCATCTGGTGAGCTCGCTCCCCGCCGCGTCCCTGGGTGTCGTGACTGAGACCCTGCGCGGGTGAACTAGACCTGGGGCAGCATTGGTCTGTGGGTGGTGTAGGTCTCGGTTAGGGTCACTCTGCAGGCACCTGGGTGGGGACAGCCTGGCAGCCGCGCGAGTAGGAATAGGACCGCCGTCAGTGCGGAGGCGGTCTCAGTTGGAGGTAGTGCACGGGCTGGAAGTTTGTGTCCTAGCCTTTGCCCGGATCCGACCGTGCATTGGAAAGGAGCTGGAGTGTCCGGGTGTGCGACCCAGCAGTGAGAGAGCCTGCACCTCGGCCAGCACCTCTCAGGTACGCGTGGAGGTCTGTGCGCGCACTCCGCGCGAAGCCAGGCTCGCGTGGTGGGAGCTGCAGCCGGGTCTGGCAGTCGGAATCGCCTACCTCCCAGCCCTGTGGATCCGGGGACATTTTTCTGCTCTAGGTTCAGGGGCTTTGCGGTGTGTTCGAGAGAATCTGGGGATAGTGGGACTGGGGCTCAACTCCGCCAGGCTGTTTTGCTGAAGTGGACTAATGCAGGGGTGGTGAGGCCTGGGAACCCGCCAGCCGGGTGAGCTCCACTCGCGGAGCCCCTGTGCGCTGGCAGCTCCTCCGCATGCGTTTCGTACCCGGACTCAGGGTCTGGGGCCAGGCGAAGATCAGGATGTTCGGAGGAACTGTTGGGGGTGGGGATTGGTCCCCCGCGATAGTCCCTGGTACGGAGCCTTGCGCGGTTAGGTCCCAGTTCCCCTGGCTTTGGCGGGAAGCGCTTTCACCTCATCTTTTTGTTGTTCGTACCTGGATGCGGTTGCCTGGAGTTGGGCTTTAACTTTCCTGCGCCCGCGGCGTCCTGGAGATCCCCGGCAGGGGGCGCCAAGAGCGAGCTTTCGGAGAAGGCCAGAGGATGCCACCAAGCGTGTTGGTATCTCTGTCCTGGGCAAGAGGGTAGGGATAAATAAATGTACCAGGTAGTGGTAAAACACAGATTTTGCAGTAATTTCACCTTGAAAGGCGAAGGGCGGAGGAAGTTGTTCTGTTACAATAGAGAGCTTTCGGCCTAGTTAGGAGAAGCGACAGAAAAGTTGGACCGAAGCCCTCTAACTAGAAAGGTCTCCTCGAAGACAAACTCCTCCGTCTCTACACATCTTTCCCCTTTACAATTGGGTTTGACAAGAAGGCAGTTGAAATTGGGTGAAAATACCAGAGTTATGTGTAATACAGAGAAGTTCGGTTCCTGAGGAGCACACTGGTTAAAGCGCCGGGTGTTTAAATGATTGCAGCTTATTTACTTACATTTATTTTAAAATAGCTGTGTGTCCAGGCTTATCTGGAAGGGCCCTGACATAATGGCCAAGTTTGTGAAGAGCATATGTGTTGTTAATTATAGAGTTAGTCTTTTAAAAGGAGGCACAGAAAGACAAAACTAGACTTTAGGAACAAACTTTTTTTAAAAAAATTTTTAATACCCAATTAGGATTGTTGAATTGATTGCTGATTAATACCACTTTTCACTTTTTGAGAGAAGGTGAAGCTCATCCCTGGGAGCAAGCTGTCCACAGTCCCACTTAAGGCTCAAGTCTTAAGCAGACACCTTCTGTTGTAGATCTCTGAAGCAACTTGTCTGTGCCGTATTTACTCCGAAAGGAGTGTGCATTTCTTTCTGCCCACTCAAATTTCTTCAGCATGCTTGATTTACATGACAAAGCAGTTCTAAATGTAGTTGTTTGAAGCACAGATTTCCTTTCCCTTGAGTCTGTTTATTGTAAAAGCTTTTGAGACAATGGCTCACCCAAGATGCTGCCTGTAGTCACAATGTGTGATCCCACAACCGTGGAGTCCATGAACTGGTATCCGCTTTTGTATGTCTTTAGTCAACACATACTCTCCCTCACAGAGGGAGGATGGATGATGCTCATTATTTTATGCCTTTTAAGATGTTGCTAGCTCTTTGGGTTGTCTTAATGGCAAACAGCTGCAGGATCCCTGCTGAGTGCAAAGACTTTGGTCTTCTGGGTGGGAAAGCCTGTCTTTGACCAGAGAAGTATTTGAGGTGTTCAGAATCTGGTGAAAATAAACTGGCATTTGTCCTTGTTTGTGTCTGTCTCAAGTGACTTCCTAGCCATGCAGAGTAAAACTACTAAAATGAATATAAGCGTTTCTTGCAAGTTTAGCATATGGACCCCCTCAAGTCCTCCTAGCTGTCAGTTTCTCAGAGGATATTGTTCTCTATCCTCTCTTTAGCCTCCTGCTGAGGGCTTCTTGCTCAAAATAGATGCCAGTTTCTCAGGGACTGTATCAATTGCTCTCATGCCAGAGAAGGCTAACTAGCTGAACCATTGCATAGTTTCAATGAACTGGATGATGATTTTTAAGGGCTCTGGATGTCCTTTTAATCCCCAAGTCACTGAAATAGAGGCTTTCCACTGATAAAATACAGGAAGGTGGAGGAGGGTTGGACGGGACTTTGCTAAGAGTCCAGCCAAGGGCACAAGACATTCCATGGGATAAATGAGTGAGCATGGACTCCAGAGTTTGCAGATCAGAACCTGACCCCAAAGAAGAGGCTTATGTTACAGAACATGTGGTGTGCAATACAGAATAAATCCATTCATTTACATTAAGTTCTAGCTAAGTAGCCCATTTTTGATGTAGAATATGTACAGCCATTCAAGAAAAGCATTTCCACTTTTTATAATAAATCCTCTATAATTCTTGATTCTAAAATTATACCAAATTAGTATTATAAAATGTATCTGAAGTTGTTGCTATAGTTACTCAGACAAATTGCTTAGGATATAATTATAATACCAAGGTGACAAGTTTTTGTGTTTAATGTTCAATAATGTTGAAAACATAAATTACAGTGTCTAACAAATTGAATTACAATACAGTATCTACCAAGGAAGTTTCTCCATTTCTGCCCACCTGCACCTGCTTGCAAATTTATATTTATATTCTGCAAAGTTAACTTTTCTGGAATCCCCAGAGGAGCGTATGTCATTTTCTAAGCTGTTTATAGTGTCTTTGGTGCTGTTGTCGGCAACAGAGAGGTTTCACAGATGCTCCCCGCATCTTTTTTAGTTTAAGATTTAAGTCTAGTTGGAAATTACTATGTTTTAAAACCTCTCCTACCCTGAAGACATGATCTACTATAGATAGGGCACTCTGCTGTTTTTAATTCCTACTGATTAGTAGCATCACAGAGATGGGTATCCACCAGCTCTTTCGGATGTAGTTTGAAGAAGAGTCTGGTATACATGTAAATACAGCACTTATTTTTTGGGTATTTACATTTTTATTACTTTTTTTTAAGTGAGTGAATATGTGCAGCATGCACAAGTGTGTGTGTGTGTGTGTGTGTGTGTGTGTGTGTGTGTGTGTGTGTGTGTGTTTTGCTTGCACATGACCTGGTGAATGTATGGAGGTCACATGACAGCTTGTGTGAAGGTCACATGACAGCTTGTGAGAGTTGGGAGTTGATTTCGTTCTTCTACTATGTATCTGAGGATCAAATGTGGGTCATTCAATTTGGTAGCAAGTGCCTTTACCAACTGTATCATTCCGTTTCAGGTACTGGTTTTTCAGGTACAGAAAAATCTATTTCTGATAGAAAGGAGAGAGAGAAAATAAAATCGACTTATGACACATAGAGCTCCGACTCTCAGTAAGTCTGTCTAAAATTCTGTTTGGTTCAGAGGTTAAGGAAGACAGAACACAGCAAACAAAAAGCTTGACCCACGAGAAGATACTGAATCCTAAGTAATTTATTTTAGCACACAGATACTGGCATAATTAATTGGTGCCTTGTGGAAGCTCCTAGAAATAGGAAATCTGGCCTCCATTTCGCATGCAGGGTAGTTTGAAGTCAGACGACTGCAAAGAGGAAGCTGTGCTTCGCCTGGGGTGTGCCATTGGAAACGGGATCGGTGCAGCAGTGGACTCCAGCAGTCAGAACACTGCCCAGAGTATGGCTCTCATCGTCTTCTCTTTCCTTCCTTTTTTGGTCCCCAAATTTATGGTTATTTGACAAGACCAAAGATGAGCACACGTTATTCCCCTTCCTGAGTTCTCAAATGTTTCCTCACATGCTCACAATTGCATGTGGAAAAGTAAGTCACTCCGTTACTCCTTTTTCTTTGCCCGTTTTAGGACTGGCTTTCTGATTAACAACAAATGAGAAACTATTTCAAAAGAGTACCTTGGTTAAAGGATGGATTTCTGTTGTGTTTGGTCGTGAACCCACCTGTCTTTAATCGCTCAGTCTTTCATTCCTTTTTTGTCTCTGCGTTTCTGTGGAATTGGCTGACCTGGAGTTCAAGCCAAGTGACGAGGAAGCACACAGCGGAACAATTTTACTTTGTGTTGCATTTTTATGTACATTTGAGAGTAAATCCCATTACTGCAGTGGGTAATTCAATTACAGATATATATGATAAATAACCAGTCAAGTGATATTATCAGCAGCCGGCACCATTGGAGAAATAATACTGTATTTGCTGAGATGAGAGATTAAAAAAAAAAAGTTGTAGGCAGGTGACAGCCAGAGTTGCACAAGGACAAGTTGGTCACAGGCAGCAGAGGCCCTTTCGTCTGGTTCACATTCGCCCAGTGACTGGCAATGATGCATAGTACAGCCATGGAAAGAAAAACAGTCAGAGACACTAAGGAGAAGTCTGTCTGCTAAGCAGTTTCTTCTGCCTTGCCTGCATTCTCCCAAACAGTTAGTGCATCACTAAAACTTCTGTTCTGATTCACAGGAGAGATGTGCTTCGTAAACTCCATCCAAACACAATTCCATACAGAGAAAATCTCTTCCTGTAAAAATAGGCGGACAGACAGAAAAACCGGAGCTGCTTTGTGTCTGGAGGAGGCTTCCCAAAGCTGTTTGTACCACGAAGGATGCCTAGGGAAATTTGCAGGACAGCATCCTGAAGTCAAAAGGATTTTAGAAACACAACTGATCTCTGAATTTCTTTTAGAGAGCTAAT